GAAGAATAGGCGATTTTTAAATGAATAATAACAGGGGCTGGTTTGATTCAGGGAAGATATGCGTTTTTGCAGAATTCCTGTACAATGAACACATTCAGAAACCAGTAAAGAGTCAAAGTGATAGACAACCTTATTGAGAGAATCGAAATTCTGTTTTTCACCTTCCAAGAGAATAACAATATATAAGAATAAATATACAAATATGTTTACATACATACACACCTTACACCACTTATATATATATATATATATATATATATATATATATATATATATATATATACAGTATACATACTATGCTAATGTATAGTATGTATACTACTACATAAATAGACACAAAAATACACACATTTAGAAGTAGAAATAATAAAAATAAAAATTATTGTCCACAGGTTTGAGTCCAGCCTATAGTGGGCAAGACTGCTAAACGGTTAATTAAAAAATAATATAAATTATTTCAACAGTACAAATATGTACAGTATAATCAGAGGTAGTAGAAGTATTCAGATCTTGTACTTAAGTAAAAGTAGAAGTACCAGAGTGTAGGAATACTCTGTTACAAGTACAACTCCTGCATTCAACATTTTACTCAAGTAAAAGTAGAAAAGTATTAGCATCAAAATATAGTTAAAGTACCAAAAGTATAAGTAGTCATTGTGCAGATTGGTCCATTTCAGAATAATATATATGATATGTTTTATAATGATTGATCATTAAAGTGTTCTCAAAGCTGGTAAAGGTGCAGCTAGTTTGAATGACTTTGTATACTGCAGGGTAGCTTGTGAATTTACTCCAGGTGGAACTAAAGTCTGAATTAAGAGTTCATTATATTTCACATCATTCATCCAGATCTGTGAAGTAACTAAAGGTATTCAATACATGTAGTGGAGTAAAAGTACAGGACTTACCTCTGAATTGTTGTGGAGTAGAAGTACAAAGTAGCATAAAATGGACATTGAGTAAATGTACTTAGTTACTTTACAGTATATTGAGTACTTGTTGTGCAGAAAACTAGTGTTTGGTCATACACTTTTCATAAAATCGATTTTACATTTTACATAAATCCACTTTGGTTAAAACATAATGTACTATCTGCAGTTGTAGCCATTAATGCATGTTCTGCACTCCAAAAGCCTCCTTAAAAACGTTAAAAAGGCCAGATAAATGTTTGATTCAAAGTTCTTTTCTTCTAACAGTTCGGGTCCCGTTCCTCTAACCAGCTGTCAGGAACACACAGAGAGGTTTTTTTTGTGCCTTTTGTTCCGTCCTCTATGGAAATACGCATCTGTTCTCCGGCCACACACACTGCCTCAGAAAAGGAATTGGAAAGCAGCAGTTAGTCTTCTGCTTTAATCCATTATTTATTTTTTTAATCAATTTGTTCCCTGAGTTTTTTCTACTTGCTTTCCAGTTGATTCCTGAATAGCATAATCTATCTTTTCACAGTGAGCACAACAAAGTCGGGAGGACTCTTTTGAAAGTGAAGGAACTCTTTTTTCTGTCCAATAAATCACTATAGAATTTAACTTTACACAAATATTCAGATGGGCTGGTTATTGAGAAAAGGGCGTGGCAAAATGTGCTGAACAGCGCCATCTAGAAGGAAAATGTAACATTTATTTTAGAGACATCATCCCAACAGGAAGTAGGCCATTTTGCATTTAAAGGTAGGGTAGGTAAGTTTGAGAAACCGGCTCGAGATACACTTTTTGTTATATTCCATGGAATGCTCTTAACATCCCAATAGCAATGAATATCTTAAGTGCTTTGACAACAAATCCATAAGAAAATGTCATCTGTGGAAGCCGTAGTACTGTAAAAAGCACGACCAATCATTTTAGCCGGCCCGGCTAAAATAACTGGATGGCCTACCTGCCTGTCAGCCTTCCATCTGTGCACAAACTTATCTCGTGCCCTCATTGGTCATGTGCGCGTTCGTGTGTGTTGGAGGAGGGGCTCTATAAGGAAGTGGCAGATTTTCTCCGGTTGTGTATTTTCAAATTCTAGCGATCTCGAGCCGGTTTCTCAAACTTACCTACCCTACCTTTAATGTAGTATTTTAAAGAGGACATATTATGGTAATTTTCAGGTTCATATTTGTATGTAGTGTCTCTACTGTGACATGTCTCCATGCTTTAATGTTCAAAAAGCTCTTTATTTTTCTCATACTGCCTGTGCTGCAGCACCTCTTTTCACCCTCTGTCTGAAACCAGAGCCCAGTCTGCTCTCATTGGTTAGCTGGCTGGCTCTGTTGTGATTGGTCAACCGCTTAGAGATGTCCCGCCCCTTAGCCTATCACGTACAATGTGTGGAGCGCTAGCCAATAGAAGCGCAGGTGTTACATAGAGACATACTGTATTATCATCAAAATATACTTAAAGTGGACCTATCATGCTATATTTGAATAATATAGCGTAGGGCCATACCTATATAAGGCATATTTATATATATATTTTTTTTAAATACCAAACAGATCATGCATTTTAGCCATGCCTCATTTTGCTCAATTTGACATTTTTTAGCTCTGTTTTTGCAAGGGCTGATTCTGTGAGAACAGCACCATCTACAGGCCTGGCATATGTACTACAGCGTCTCCAGCGCTTTCGAACGGCAATGGCCGTGGGTGTCTCCTCCTGATTGGTGGAGTTGGCCCAATAGCCGTAGCGCCACTGTCCTGACGTCAGGACAGTGTTCAAATCTGGATCAGTTTTTATCAGATCCGTTGCAGCCCCTTTTTTAGAGATTTGGGTATGGAGGAAAATAGAGAGGGTTGTGTTTTCTTTTACACTTGGTGAGTTCCCTGGAACACCGGGGACACATATTCATGTATAAAAGACGTACAAAAGTGCATTTTGCATGATAGGTCCCCTTTAAAGTACCAAAATTAAAAGTATTCATTGTGCAGATTGGTCCATTTCAGAATAATATATATGATATGTTTTATAATGATTGATCATTAAAGTGTTCTCAAAGCTGGTAAAGGTGCAGCTAGCTTAATGACTTTGTATACTGCAGGGTAGCTTGTGGATTTACTCCAGGTGGAACAAAAGTCTGATTTAAGACTTGGTTATATTTCACATCATTCATCCAGATCTGTAAAGTAACTAAAGGGATTAAATACATGTAGTGGAGTCAAAGTACACCATGTACCTCTGAATTGTAGTGGAGTAGAAGTACACGATTTCACTCTGAATTATAGTGGAGTAGGACTTACTTAAGTACAGTACTTGAGTAAATGTACTTAGTTACTTTACACACTGATAGGACTGACTATGCTTACAGCTGAATTGGGGTCTGGTGCTGACCTCTAGTGGAGGATTTGTCTTTTTTACAGCAGATGAAAAAACTCAACTGTTGAGTATCCATGTGTTATTAATGCACTGCTGTTTTGAGGTCTTTCGGATATCATTACTTAGTTTAAATTCGCTTTTGTATTTGTTGTATTTTGTATTTGCACGAATCTGCTGGTTAATCATACATTCATTTAAAATACTTTATAGAACCTTTACCTTAGGAATTATATTGATTCATTGATAATAATTACAAATGACTGGGGGAATAAAAAGAGTATAAGTGGATTAAAAAAACTTTTTTAGTGTACGGTTTTGCGAAGATAAATTAAAAACTTGTAATTCGGTATCTAACACACTAAGATAAACAAGAAAATCCACTTCCTGTCTTACCCTGTATAATAGATTGATGTAAATATAAATAATAAAGCTTCATATGAAACAGCTGTATGTGTTCAGGATGCACAGACAATCCACATCATTGTAAAAACACTCGGCAGTCCAGAGAGATTTAAAACATTTTATTGGCAGAAAGAGTGTATAAAAGCAATCAAAGCTGCAAAAAAATATATTGTTTGATTACAAAAGAATGTCTTTGAAGAAAATGATAAGTAGGCACTTCGGTGGAGCATCGTGAAACCTCAATGTCACAGGTTTGAGTACCATATCAGTTCTTTATAAAATACAAAATATTTGTATTAATAATTAAACAGAAAAACAATTATTTTAGCTTATAGGGAAATGGGCAACTGCTCATCTGTGTCTGCGTCGCTCAGTTATTTTCTGAGTTATTGTGTGACTTAAAAAAATCTAAACCAAACATATAACACTCAAAAAGTAACTGATCAAGGCGGCGGTAGACCATAGCTTATTTCTGTGTTCTGGTGAAATTACAGTATTTTTTAAAAGGAGTCTGAGGTAAAGTGGTAAAAATATTCAAAATATAGCGTACACTTAAACTGATATTGACTGGCTAAAATACGTCCTGCTACATTACTTTACGTCCATGCTGATACTCTTGTCTCTTTCTTTAACATGGCAGTCAGCTGATCTCTCATTTACTTACTACGGATAATTAGTTAGTCTCATACTGCCTGTGCTCTTTTCACCCTCTGTCTGAAACCAGAGCCCAGTCTGCTCGGATTGGTTAGCTGGCTGGCTCTGTTGTGATTGGTCAACGGCTTAGAGATGTCCCGCCCCTTAGCCTATCACGTACAATGTGTTGGAGCTAGCCAATAGAAGTGTGAGTGTTACGTAGTGATGTCACTATGTTGCAGAAGTAAACAAAGGAGTCCGATAGAGGCTTTTCTTTGGGATTTTAACCGTTTACAAACCTATATAAAAGCACCATAGGAAAGGGAAAACCCCCAAAAGCATAATAAGGCCTGTTTACTGTAAATTCATTCCTGTTGGATGTTACTACAAACCAGAGATCAGTTCAGTAACAAAACACTGCAGTCAGTACCATCGGGCATATATACCAACGGTGTTTCAGGGCCGGTTCGGAGCTGGAGCTTGAAAGCACCAGTCGGACTCTGGGCGGTGTGAAAAGAGCCGGAGCTAAACCGAAGAACCGGTTTTGAACTTGAAAAACTCTAGCACGGAGCTTGAACCGGAGTTGCGTTGGTGTGAATGAGGCACTAGTGGTTATGAGGATTAACACTGTTTTTGGCATTATTATTATTGTATCACATTCATTTAGAGACATTGTGAATTAAAATACATTTAAAAAAGGTTTATGGAGTAGCATTGAACGCACCATGGAAACCATAAGCCATGTTAACGGGCACGTTGGCTCTTGCCAGTTCTTCAAATGTCTTTGCATCCAAAACCAGGAGGAACGTTGCGTTATCCTGCAGAGAAAAATGTGTTATTAGTTTCAAATCAAGAGGCTCAACGGCATCACGGACTGTTCAGTAACATGTTGCTCTGTATAGAAGAAAAAAAACATGAAATGTGCAATATTATAAACTATTTGGACGTATTTGAACAGCGCTGATTGACAGGCTATTACAAACTGCTGCTGATTAGAGCAAAGTGTAATTTTTTCTCTGCATTTGATTTGCTTTGTATCTGCATTTCATGTCTGTTGCTCTGTCTTTGATGGAGAAGCTCTTTGTGACAACTGCTCTTGAATGTTGCTTTAAAAATAAACGTGTTTGCTACTTGATGCGCATTACAGAGAGGAGGTTAATAATACGATCTAGCACTACTTGAGTTCAGGACTTTGCCCAACATGCTTTCAGGAAACAGCACAACAACAACACCTTCATACGGCTCGTGCTTTTTAAATAATAGGATTTAAATTGAATTGAAAGCTTGTTATAAGTAGAACTAACTAACTTGCTGTAGATATCTTTGCATACCTAAAACCTAGACATTTCTGCTTTTTTTCCTAAACTATTCAAATGCATTCTGTGTCAATTGGTCTATGAATATTTCATCCGACTCATGTATATTGTATGATGGACTTTGTGTCCAACTAATACCAGACGGTCAGGGTGACCTGGTTAAACAAACTCTAAACAACTTTTGCTCTAAATAAAAATATATACAGTATAAAATGACACATAACAACACTGGTGTAACTCGAGAACTGCCACCCTTTTCACTACTAAACTTTCGACAACATATTTAGCTGTTCGTCATCTGCTTTGTTTTTATGTCTTTGACTGGTAACTGTATTCTGTGTGACATCAATATGATGGGAATTTACAGCGATTCAATATGTATGTAGGTTTCCTGGCTATGTTCTCAGACAGAAGGGTGTCGCCCCGACCATTGTCAGGCAGTTATCATATGGATGTTAGGGTTGTAATTAACATGCTGTGCTTCCCCTTCTGTCTGCCCCCCCACCCTTCTTGGGACTGTAATGTGGATTGCCCAGCTGAATGAATCCTCTTCCTGTGTGACATTGCTTTTCTGTGTAACAGGGTCAGATTCTTGAGCTACATCAGTGGTACAGGTTATATCTCACACAGGCTCCGCCCTCTACTGGACTCTATGGGTACTACTCTCTATCATGCTGTGCGTGCTTTCACCTACTGAATTTACGTAAACGTAGCCGGCCAATCGGGGCGAGCCTACCTGAATGCGCGCGCAGGCCCACAGTATATAAGGCGGCTACAGCCGCCGCCCCACTATCCTTTTTCTCTTCAGACGAGCTGACAACCGAAGAGTTAAATAAACGTACGGAAGAAGCTCCGATTAATGCTTATTTCTCTCTAAGAGAAAACAGCATTATGGTGGAGCGCGCGCTCTCACGGGAGCATGCCGTGGTGCGTTCAGGGACCTCAGTTAAAAATCGGCCGTTTTTTTCTCTGAGTGGAAACTACATTATAGAAAAACGGCCCTTTCTGTGTCAGCCCCCCATGGGTCAAACTTCCTTTTATGGAGGGTTTGACGGCGGAGTGGGCCACCAGAGAGTACCACAGCTTCATAGCTGCGGCTCCGCAGCTGATTGCACATCCCCTAACACAATGTTATGGGGAATGGAAAATCAGTGGTGTATTAACAGAGCGCATGGACAGGACACTGAGACTGGGTTATTCACTCCAGTTTTGTAGCATCCCTCCTCCGTTCAGAGGCAGGAGAGAGGCACATCTGTCATCCCAGGAGGAGGTTTCCTCTCAGCATGTGCACTCTCAAGTCAGAGAGAAGGGGCATTATTCCCTGTACTTCCTGGTTCCCAAGAAGACAGGAGAATTCAGGCCCATTCTGGATCTTCAATGCCTGAACCAGCACATTGCATGCAAGAAGTTCCATATGTTAACTATGAAACAGTTACTGAGACTGGTGCAGCCAGGCGATTGGTTCACAACCATCGACCTGAAGAACGCTTACTTTCATGGCGAAATTGCTCCAAGAGCACAGAAAGTATTTGCGTTTTGCCTTCCAGGGGGTAGCCTACGAGTACAACAGACTGCCGTTCGGCTACTCCCTATCCCCACGCACGTTCAGCCACGACGCTGCAACCGCTGCGGGACCATGGCATGAGGGACGACCTCATAGTTATGGCCAGGTCCAGGGAATGGGCAATACTGCACACAGCCCAATTGATCCTACACCTAACCAAGTTGGGTTGAAAAATAAGTTGGAAGAAGAGCTCCCCCATACCTCACCAGCAGGTAGAATATCTGGGGGTGATGCTCGATGCAGGCAGACTACGTGTCACCCTGACAGAAAGCAGACAGGCATCCCTTCTGCGGGCAGTCTGCAGGCTGCGTCAGGGGGCGACGGTGACAGCTTTGATCATCATGCAGACTTTGGGTCTCATGACGGCTGCTCACTCCGTAGTGCCACTCGGACTGCTGCATGCACGTCGCATGCAGATGTGGTTTACCGGCCTTCGTTTAGATCTTAAGACACAAACGACGTCTGGTGGTCATCCCCCCCCCTCAGTAGAGAGCAACCTCCGATTCTGGGGGTCCCCAGAGAATCTGCGGAGGGGAGCTCCACTGGGGCAGGTAACCTCCTATATCACAGTCTTCACAGACGCTTCAAACAAAAAGAAAGTGACAGGATGGGGGGGGGACGTGTCTAGAGAGAGCTGTGGGTGGTTGCTGGCCTCTGGCGGCACAGCAACCTCCTGGAGCTGCAAGCAGTGATGTTGGTCCTACAGCACTGCAAACCCTTAATACAGGGCAAACATGTGCTAGTAAGGAGCGACAACCGCACCACAGTGGCGTACATCAACAGGCAGGGCGGAGTCCGCTCAATAGCCTGGTTGACCGCAGCAGAGAACCTGTGGCCGTGGGTTTAACAGATTGTGTTGTCTCTAAGGGCCCTGCACATCCCGGGACGGGAGAACAGGTGGGCCGACCTCATGTCAAGAGGCGGACCCCTGCCAGACGAGTGGAGGCTTCACCCGGAGGTGGTGAAGCAGGTCTGGACTCAGTTCGGTAGAGCAGAGGTGGACCTGTTTGCCAATCGGCGCAACAGCCACTGTGCCCTGTGGTTCTCCCTGGCTCGGTGGGACAACCCGCCCTTGGGGGTCGACACATTTGCACACGAGCCATGGCCAAGAAAGCTGCTTTACGCCTTTCCACCGCTGCACCTTATCCCCCCCCCTCCTGGAGAGGGTGGGGCGGGAACAGCTGTCAATCATCCTGGTGGCCCCAGATCGCCGCCTGGCGCCGTGGTAACGCGGGGGTAACACAGATGATGGTGGGCCAGCCCTGGGCGATTCCTCAGGTCTGGGGAGCGCTGTCTCAGGAAGCAGGTGCAATAGGGGCGTTACCCACTCTGGGCCAACCTCTCCAGGCTTGGCTCCTGAGAGGGACAGGCTGAGACAGGTGGGGCTGTCTGATAACGTTATTCAGACTATCCAAGCAGCAAGAGCAGAATCCACCACAGCTTGTTACAGGCCAAAGTGGGCGGGATTCCGGCGATGGTGTGAAGGAAGGAGTCTAGAGCCTCTGTCGTGCACGCTGGGCTCTATTCTTACCTACTTACAGATACTGGTGGACAGGGGGCTGGCTCATTTCACAATTAAGGTGTATGCAGCAGCCATTTCGTCCTGCCATGAGGGATTTGGAGGCAGGTCAGCCTTCAGTCAGCCGCTTATGGCGCGGTTTTTGCAGGGGGTCAGGAGGCAGCGCCCAGTAGTGCACGCCTCCGCCCCGCAGTGGGACCTGCCGTTGGTGCTCGAGGCTCTGGTCACAGAACCATTTGAGCCTCTGGAGCTCTCCTCCCTGAAAGCACTGTCATGGAAGACAGCATTGCTACTTGCCTTGACTTCGGCTAAAAGAGTGTCCGAGCTGACCGCTCTGTCGGTACACCCAAGTTGTCTTTTGATCCGGGGTGACCGTAGCGGGGCGACACTCAGGCCGAACCCCTCCTTTACTCCTAAGAGTATCAGAAGTTCATTCAGATCAAGGGCTATTCAGTTAGGTGGCTTTAATCTTCCACCCCATATTGGGGCCAGGGAGGCTAAATTGCACCTCCTCTGCCCAGTGCGTGCGCTAGCATGCTATGTAGAGCGCACGGCTGCCATTAGGCGCACTGAACAACTGTTTGTGTGCTTTGGGGATGGTGTGGCTGGAAAAGCCCTCTCAAAGAAGCGCCTAACAGGATGGCTATGCAGGTGCATTACACATGCCTATGGACGGGCGGGGAGAGCCCTCCCCACTGGGGTCCGTGCACATTCTACACGGGCTGTGGCTGTGTCAACAGCCTTATTCAGCGGCGTGAGTGTAGAAGATATATGCACGGCGGCGTCTTGGTCTACGCCAGGCCCCTTCATAAAATGTTATCTCCTGGACATGTCTGGCTCCTTCTCGTCGTCGGTGCTTGCCGAGGCAACGCATGACTGGTGAGAGGGGGGTGGCTGTGGGTCAGCAGGTATCTGACCCCCCCCCCCCTGGACATAAAGCACTTGTGTTTTTCCCATGCTCCTGAGGGACTCGGGAGACATGGTGCGCAATCAGCCCCATACAGGGCTGGAGGCAGGCGGGGAGAGCCTTCCTCACTATTGTCCATGCCCACTCTACACGGAGCGTGTGTGAGTGTGGGGGATGTGGTGCACTTATGTTTTCCCGTGCTCCTGAGGGACCTGGGGAACATGGTGCGCGGTAGGCTCCAGACGGAGTCTCCGCACAGTTTTTTCCATGCACACTCTACACGAGGTAAGCGTGTGTGAGTGTGCCTTATCCAAGTTGCGGCCCCGACTTCTCCACGGTTACAACCGGATGGGAGGAAGTGGGGATGCAGTGGATGTTAGCCAAAAGCCGGTCAGGGACGGTGTGGTGGGTCGATGTTGTTGGACGACAGGGCGTTTATACATCGGGGCTCCGCCCACTGTATGTACCCATAGAGTCCAGTAGAGGGCGGAGCCTGTGTGAGATATAACGGGGGGTTACGTATTGTAACCCTAGTTATATAAACACAGGCGGAGCCCTCTACCTGGAGGCCCTGTCTTTCCTAGTCCGCTCGTTGAAGAGTGTATAGGATAGTGGGGCGGCGGCTGTAGCCGCCTTATATACTGTGGGCCTGCGCGCGCATTCAGGTAGGCTCGCCCCGATTGGCCGGCTACGTTTACGTAAATTCAGTAGGTGAAAGCACGCACAGCATGATAGAGAGTAGTACCCATAGAGTCCAGTAGAGGGTTCCGCCTGTGTTTATATAACTAGGGTTACAATACGTAACCCCCCGTTATCTGGCCTTCCAGCTGGAAATATGATTGATTCTGTTAAATGCTATAACTCTTTATTAAATAACACAACTTTGGTTTAAGCTTGTATATTTGTTCTTTTCTTACCAGAAGGTGATTAAGGGTGGAATTTCCACCACAATCAATTTTCTGTGAGATGCCTATGTGAAGCACTTTGAACTGCACTTATTGTATGAAAGGTGCTATACAAATATAGATTATTATTATCTGGGCTACAATTCCTGTACTGAGTCCTACCTGTGAGGGGGTGAGGACCACAGACAGGATGACTCCCTCGTCCTCCTCCACAGCGTCAGGTGACGGCACAAACACCGGCTCTGACGGGAAGAAACCCTTCTGGTACCAGACCTGAGGTCACAGACAGGAAAAGAGCATAAGTAAAGGATAGGTAATGAGCAGTGAGGCGTTCAGGATCCTGATCCCCATGAATGTTCTTTTTTCATGATTGACCGTCTCGCTGCTCATTATCCCGGCTATTACAAGGGTATGTTCTACTGTAGATAAACCAACAACTTGACTCACAATACTGACTTCTAAATGGATTATTGTTGAAGTCCACATTTTGCCTTTGTCTTGTCTTTGTCAAAAACTGACACTCCTAGAAAAGTTTGTTCTACCTGCAGATCAAATCCATAACAAATATGTTATGATCAACTAAAGTTAGGTACAATTTCAGATGAATAAAAGAGTGAATGTTAGCCTCTGTAAGTCAAGGAATACTAAGAATATTATTTTGTTATGATTTGCATTTGGAATCAAATATATAACTTTCATTAAAGCATTGAATAAACCATTTTTCCATGAAGAATTTATTACAATAACTCATATTTAAAAGTTGTAATTTGTAAAATGTGGAAACATGTACATTAATGTAATCTAATAAATCTAACCACGCACGCACGCACGCACGCACGCACGCACGCACGCACGCACGCACGCACGCACGCACGCACGCACGCACGCACGCACGCACGCACGCACACACACACACACACACACACACACACACACACACACATACACACACACACTAACCTTGAGCGTCTTGTCCTTGAGGTCCATCTTGAGCAGAGAGTCTCCCACCAGGTGTCTGAATCCGCAGCCGTAGAAATATCGGTATTGTCGCGTGTTATATTTCCCGTAGTTGATCTGAGGGAACTCCAGGCCACCGTACTCGTAGAGGTCGTCTCCATGGAGATCCTCATGTTGGCAAAACACCTGTTGACAAAGAGCGGATCAACTCTATTGTACCACTGTTTGTAGAATTGTTGTAGGATCAACTATTTGCATATCCCCCTTTTACACTTTATTTTGCCCTCCTCCTTCCTTTTGTACTTATAGCCTACTATTTACAACAAGTATGCTGTGTGTCAGACTTGTAATAGAGTATTTCTACATTATAGTATTGCTTCTTCTACTCCAGTAAATGAGCCGAGTACTTTAAAAGCTGTCAGGAAAACAAACTGTGCTTAACAACCCACCTTATCTTTGTTGATCTGGACACAGGTTGCTGTACTGGAGGGCCGTGTGTTCAGGTTCTGGTCTGTCGGGGTCTCACCCGTCAGCTGCAGCGGCAGAACAAAACGCCTCGGGAAGGCCCTGCATATTGTGTTGTAGACCTGACAATGACACCACACAGGAATGCAGTGTTTATGCATGGAAATTTAGGGAGGGTACAAAAACTTGTTTTCTCTTTGATGATGTTCAACGGTGACTCTCAGGGTGGGCTTTACCTTTGTTTACTGCACAAAATGGAATCTAATTTGATTAAGCCTGTCAACGTTAACGCTTGCGATTCATCTGGAACTATACCACGTTCAAAAATAAAAAAGTTTGACCCAAAGTTGCTCCCGTAAATGGCACATGAGACATACATTGCACTGACTGGAGACAACTGGACGTCAGGAAGAACAATCACTAGCTCGCGGTTGTGACACTTGACAAATGTTCTGCACTCGATCGCTTCAGGTGTAGTGAAGTCACAGGAGGCATTTTGGAGAAGCATGCACAAACAAGTTTCTTGAAGTTGCAGATTGAGTGGGAGATAGTGGAGAGGTTCATCACTGAGAGGACAGATAGTGTGTAGCGCACATTATGAAGAGGGTCATCACAGCGGCATTTTTATAATTGTCGGAAAATTGGCGAACTTCATGCCAATAAATCAGAAATCATGTAATAAAGTAAAAAATAAACTCTGACTTATCTTACCAGTTTGTCATGCATTTCTTAATTATAACATCACATGTGTATTTGTTTTATCCCCCAATACTTGTATTTTAAAAGTGTGATTAATCATGATGAATCACAGATTATTTTTTTGTTATTTTTTATCGATTGAAAACATTAGTAGTGTAAATGGAGCAATGGCATCTGTTTTCAAGTTTCTGGAAGTGGCACAAGAATGACACGGTCTCACAGTGTGATAGCAGCAGAGAGAATACTACAATATGAGCATATAAATGATAAACTGACCTCATCTAATGCTTCTCCTGACTTGCGTAAGTTCTGGATGAGATAGTTGTTGATGGCTCCACCGTCGTCTGCGCAGCACAGGTCGATCATCAGGAACCCGTCCTCCTCGAAGGCGTTGATCTGATGGAAGGTGGCGATGGCTTTGGTGTGGTACTTCACCGGGCTAACCTGCGAAACAGAAGTCACTATTAGATGATCCAGGTTTTAAAGGTCCCCTATTATACTGTTTTTCATCAATATATTATAGGTCTCAGATATATACAAAACATGTCTCTGAAGTGTTTGGCTCCAAATACCAAACAGATCATTGTAGCATCCCATAATCCCCTCTGTTTCAGCCCTGTTTCAAAAGTGCTGATTCTCCGTCTGAAGCCAAAAAATCGTTATGAAATTTTCAGACAGGTTTTTATATAAATGGATCAGGACAAAAAGTGAGAGAATCTTTTTTCCTGAAACTTGATGACTTTCTTTACACAGAGGGGACACGTGTTTATGTATAAAAGACATGAAAAAGTGGATTTTGCATAATAGGTGACCTTTAAAGAAGTGAGGGGATTTCCCTGCATCTATAATCACAACTCACCTCGCCTGTACGCTTGTCCACGAGATGGAAGACAGTTTCCTGTTTGGGATCCCAGTAGATGCCGTCGCTCAAAGCCTTCCCCCTCAGTTTAGCTGTGACTATCTTCATCAGGTCCATCTTTATTGGCTGCTCGATGAACACCACGTAGTTCTCTGACATGGCTGGAGGCAGGAGAAGGGTGTCATTGGCAGCTTAAATTGAAATAAAAACACCACAGATGAATACTATATCCAGGAGTGCTGTCTCACCAAAGCTGTGGTAGTAGGAGGGATGGAACGTGTTGACAGGCACAATGGAGCAGAGGACTTTGGCTCCATGGAGAGTGTCTTTGGAGTCAGACTTCTCAGGAGGAACTCTGATGATGTTGTACAACGCTCCTGATACATAGGACAAACAGGATAAACAGGATAATCAGGGGTGGAAAGTGACAAAGTACATTTACTCAAGTACTCTACTTAAGTACCCTTTTGAGGTACTTTACCTGAGTATTTCCATTCTACTTCGTCCCCTAATTTATTTGTTGTTTTGTCTGTCTAACTGTTTTTTTTGTTGTTTGTTTTATTCCTGTTTTTCTGTAAAGCGACCTTGGGTCCCCTGAAAGGCGCTATATAAATTTAAGTTATTATTATTATTACTTTATACTTCTACTTCATTTGAATTTGTAAGCAAATAGTTTACATCTTGTTTCCATGCATTTACTTTGCAGGTTATAGTTATCAATATGAGAAATGTCTCCGTATATTGATATAAATCGGCGCTGCTTTTAACAACAAACCATATGTAAGCATCTGTGCAGTATAATCAAAGCATTATTTAGTGGGAATGCTGATACAGCACTATCTGTTATGCTACGCACAAAATGCTTTATTATTCCGCCGGGTTATTTTGCACCTCTTCTTCTCCCACATTCCACATCGCAGAAACTCCGTTCAAACATCAAAACGTTCAGCTCGGTCGGGAATCGATGGCTATTACTTTTCTTATTCATAACATTCATAATTTCAGAGATACATCCCATAATTCATCACATTTTTAACATGGAAGTCAATGGAGAAACTCTTCAGACTTGAACAATCTTCATGCAACTTCAACTGCAAACTGCTCCTTCATACTTTCAATCAGAAACCTCATTCCAACTTTAAAATGTTACACATCTTTCTAACATTATTTGTGTAACACAACTTTTAAATCTGATTCGTACTTTTAGAGATATTAAACATTGTTCAGACCTTGGTAAAGAGGCCTTCTTCAGATTTTAGAGTGTGTGATGTCACAGCTAGAGTGGAGGACAGATTTAATTTTGCCTTCATATTTTCTTTTAAACCTGCCATAATTCCCAAACCCTACATTCCTGAGACATCATTTTTCATGAGAAACGTAGGAAAACATCTCGTAGCTTGAAAAATTTAAAATAATTAAGCAAAATAATTAAACAAAATGCCTCTTGAGGGCATGAAGTGACAAAAACTTTCAACATGTCTCCATTAAACCCCATTGTAAGTTCAGCCTCATCTTTCCCCACCACAGCAGCCGCACACATTTAGTTCATCTGCCAAAAAGGCCACGATATTAACCCGAAAGTACACAAAAAGTACACTTCAGATGCTCAAGTTCCTTGACATGCTTCACGCTTTGAAATTTCACCGATATCTGTTACGGTTCTTCAACAAAACGTTCACATGTAAGAGGTTTATCTCTCATTCAGAACAATGAAAATGCTCTCCTCTCACTGATTACTGCATCACCATGGAAACCTTTGATCTCTGGACAAGTCGTTAGCTCAAATATAAACACCTGTGTCATGGAACACGATGATGTCATAACTCCAAGTGACATGCTCAGAGCAGCAGACTTCCGATAATGGTTAATGGTCCTGCCCTCAACAGCTCTACGTCAATTATGGAATGTCATCATATGCATCCCTCGCCATAAAACACGATGTCGCTGTAGCTCCAATGGACATGGTCCAGTCGTCCCACAATATTCACCTGTATATCACCTCTCCATGCCTCAACAGCTCTACGTCAAATCTGACATATCACCATATGCCGTTTCCATGGAAATGCATCCCTCGCCATAAAACATGATGTTGTCGTAACGCCTATGAAAAGGGTCAAAACAGCACCAGACTTCAGATAATGGTTAACGGTCCAGCCCTCAACAGCTCTACGTCAATTATGGGGTGTCATCATATGCCGTTTCCATGGAAACGCATCTCTCGGCATAAAAGACGATGTCGCTATAACTCCTATGAAAATGTTCAAAAAGTGCTCAAACTTCACATGTGTGCAGTCCAGCCATGAAGGCATCTACGGGACAGTTTTGAGATTTCTTCAAAATGCCGTTGCCATGGCAACACAATGCTCACCATGAAACATGGTTTTCTCATAACTTCAGTGAAAATGCTCCAAACGGCCCAAAACTTCACAGGTTTGGTAACGATGCAGCCATCAACGCATCTAAGCGTATTATGGGATGTCATCAAATGCCGTTGGCATGGTGACAGATCATTCGCCATCAAGTTAGTTCAAAGGTTTGCAGTTCAAATATTCGGCTGCTTTTCCAAGCCTTTTTACTTTCTTTTCTTCTTTCATCACACATTCAAGCCCCCAGTGTTCATGTATCATTTCAATCTAAATTCTTCACTTTCTTCTTACACATTACATTTCAGCATAGCAGTTTAGCGTCAGCTTTTCAGCATAAAGCATTCCCACTAGCAATTTCTTCAGGAATTGCATTCTCTAGTTATTCAATAGTATGCTCATCTTGACGAAAACATGCATTTTCACTGAATCCTTACTATTCAAAACACTTTTGCATAACATCAAACACCATTTTATCTAAATATAACTTTGCTGTTCTTAAACGCAACCCTCAGTTACTTCAATTCAACCAGAATTCTCTTGTTTTTTTCACATTGGAGTATAGGAAAAGTGATATATATATACAAACATTTTGTGGGTTTTTTATTTCTTTAATTTGAGTCAACTGGACCTACCTTTGCTTCCATAGGAGTTGCCCATATTGTAGGCGGTACCGTCAGGGTCATAGTGGGGGTGAGCAGTGGCTCCATTCACAGCAATGAACTTGCTCCAGTCTACCTACAAAACATAATAGAGCAAAATGGCAAGATGAGGATTAGGGCTGATATAACTGGACTATAAAGACAGATTATATATATTTATATATACAGTATACATGTAAAATAATGACACTGTTATTGTTTTCTATATATTGCTCCATGTTATTACCTTGTCCAATGTTTCTAAGTTTTCCGGGTTCACTCTATGCATGAAGTTTGTCTCCGTGCTGACATAGTAGTCACCTTTGTATTTCACAAAGTTCACATTTGCATTGTCCGTGGAGTCTGTAACAGAGAGAAACACACAGTATTGGCCTTTTCAAGGAACAAGAGTCTTCCTTCCTCAGCAGGAATCTTTTCAGCTGCAGTTCAGCAGGAATGTGAAATGTTCAGTGTGGGTTAAACCCTCTAAGGTTCCCGACTAGGGTTGCAAAATTCCGGGAATTTTCAAAGATGGAAACTTTCCATAGGAATTAACGGGAATAAACAGGAATTTATGGGAATAAACTGGACATTTTCAAAATTGAAGGTTGGCTCTTCATAGGGAATTTAAATATAGTTGGGGAAAGTATATTTTAGCATAATCTTGACTAAAACAAACAGATGCCATTCAAGTACACTTGAATATCCATGCCATAGCACACTGCTTACTGCATGGCTATTGAGACCACACCCCCTACAGGCACTGTGCATTCCTCCATCACATGCACAGGTGAGTAATATTTAACTCAACATTCCTGTTTTCGTTCTTCAATGAAACAAATAATTGTTCAATAAAATAATTAAAACTTGTTCTGTTCTACTTGTTCTGTTCTAACCCATGGAAACTTTCCGGAAATTTACCGGAAATGTTCCGCCCTTTGCAACCCTATTCCCGACTGCAAATGATGTTGTTATGTAATCCTCGTGTAAACAGAGCACTAGAGCTCCTCCCCGGCCATACTTTCAGCAAAACTTCTTCCACTAGATTTACATTTTCCCTTTGTCTCTTGAGCTTCTTCTGAGACCACCAAGCTGCAGAAAGTGAAGCCCCACTCTCAGACAATCACCCAACAAACCAACTACAGTCAATCTTCATGAGCCCTCGCCTTTTGTCACAAGTTTTCCATTTTCTCCGTCTCTTCTTATTCAGTGTACTCACCCATCATCTCAAAGCGGGACAAGAAGCGCTGGAAGATGTTTTTACAGGGGTCCGGCAGGGCGAGGGTACCAAATTCTGACATCATGATGCGGTCCCTTTCACTATTCTTCCTGTAGGCCTCGCTGTTCAGGAAGCGACTCATGTAGGTCACCTGGCCTTCTGCGATGGTGAACTTATGCAGCAACGCCATCCCATCAAACCAGTGATTGTAGCTGTGAAGAAATTAATGCTTTAGTCACATCTATTTAAACACGTTATTTGTTAGTGTTGTTGTGCAGGTGACTCACTGTGTGTTTCCAAATTCAAACTTCCCTGGGCCGTTTCGGAGGAGGTTGCCTTTGACCCATGAAGGAATGGATCCTTGTACCTTAGTGGAGATTGGCTCTGGGGTTTCTTCTACAGAGCGCACCAAAGGCTCAATGGTCTCCAGCCCCTTCATCGCGGTGGTAATGCATTTCTCGGCCTTGCCATTGTCAACAGGCTTGGCATCATCTGTCGGAAACACATAAACTCAGTCATACCCTTATGGTTCTTACCTTGACTACAAGAACAATCAACAACGAAACTGATCTACAAACTCGATCATTTAGAGCAAAAGTGACTGCTCGAGTTCAGTTTCTCAGTGGGAGGAATAACTGGGTCAGAGTGATTTTGTTTTCTTTGGCTTCACTGCAGTGTTGGCAAACATCCTAAACAATTAGGAACGCTCCATATGTCATATGTTTCAGTCACGCAGTATAGGTCTAATGAGTCGCCGTGATACTAAAACAGAATAAATGCTATATTGTTTTTTTATTATTCTTATATTCCAAATCCTATACATGTACAATATAGTAACAAATGAAACAAAGAAAACACATGAAAAAAAAACGTTAAGAAAATGAGTTAAAGGTAGGGTAGGTAAGTTTGAGAAACCGTCTCGAGATCGCTAGAATTTGAAAATACACAACCGGAGAAAATCTGCCACTTCCTTACAGAGCCCCTCCTCCAACACACACGAACGCGCACATGACCAATGAGGGCACGAGATAAGTTTGTGCACAGATGGAAGGCTGACAGGCAGGTAGGCCATCCAGTTATTTTAGCCGGGCCGGCTAAAATTATTGGTCGTGCTTTTTACAGTACTACGGCTTCCACAGATTAAAAAATGTTATGGATTTTTTGTCAAAGCACTTAAGATATTCATTGCTATCGGGATGTTAAGAGCATTCCATGGAATATAACAAAAAGTGTATCTCGAGCCGGTTTCTCAAATTGACCTACCCCACCTTTAAGGCAAAACAAGGCACGTTTATGTATAGCACGTCAACACTGGGTCAAGCAAAGTGCTTTACAAAAAAACAAAAAAGCAAGAGCAGTAATATATAGTGCAGTGGAATCACTCTATAAAATGACATTTAAAAGCCATCAAGGAGACTAAAATAAAAATTAAACAAGCTAAAAATAGGATAATACAGGTATAAAACAAAGGACTCGTGAAAATGCAGTGTAAGATATGAAAAGTTATTGGGTAATGTTTGACATATTACCAGACAAATTGCAAAACTTCAGCAGAAATACAATAAAGTCAACCCACTGCAGCACTCAACTCAAGAATGGCGGTGTAAAAATAAAAGCCAACCTGTCATTGACCCCCATGAAGAGAAGCATGGGCGTCGCAGCCATTATATGAGGGTGGGACAAGTCCCCCCCACTTTTTCAAATGATTAGTTTAGACCCCCCCACTTTTACTATGCAGAAAGTCCGTGAATCGGTCTATCCACTCGCGCACTTTGTAGAGCGCTGTGTCAGTGCTTCACTATCAAATTAAATCCATTCCACTTGCTTATTGAGAGAATGCTCAAATCAATGAAACTCCGTACCATGTTTTCACTGCTACTTTGTACCAAGGCAGATTCTCACATAGCGCGCGCATGTTCAAGGAGTGTTGTCATAGTTGGACAGCTCAGATCTGTTGTATGAAGCGATGCCGGTAGTGGAGGTAAGGCACACACACCAAATGTTCAGGAAATGGTTAATACAGCGAAAATCAAAGCTGACGATCTCTTGGTTTGATATGTTTTCTCCCCCAGACAACTTGGACATAAGAACATTTTTTTCAAAGAAGAGGAAAGTAAGTCATCAGCTGGTAGCAGTTAATCAGTTAACAGTGATGGCGGCGTCTCAATTCTGGAGAGGAGTTTCGTCTTTATGTCATGGTAGAGAGATACAAATACTGAATAGTTTAGATGAGAAAAGGCATCGAAATGCCAGGTTACTAGTATTTATCATGTAAACAGGGAACATGAATAACCCGATCTCTCTGTGCTCATGTAAACACCATATCCCCAATATGATCATACCCGGGATAATACTCATAAACGGCTTACTGATGTCCATGTAGAGACGCAGTCAGTGTGTTTTACTGGAGCCTCAGTTCGATAAGAGATTATTTTCTGAGTTCTTTAACTTAGGTACTCTCTCTCAAAATGGTAATGTGCATTATGTTTTAATTATACTATATACTCATTCAGAAGCTTTTTGTGTGTGTTTATGTTTTACTGAGTGCTTATAGGCTATTTCCATCCCAGTATTCAGTTAACTATTTATTTTCTGTGCACATTACATAGACTAGCTAATATTCTACCTACTGCTTGGGACTTTGAGTCTTCAAAATGTCCAATGTCACAGACTGGGACTTACTTTAGAGTCAGTTGTATTTACATTCAGTATGACTTGTTATGATTCAATGTGAAAGAGTATACTGCTCAATAAATAATTATCACTTCACCACCTCTCTTGACATCTAGGCACTTGAGAGTGAGTCAGAGGCATAATACAGGGACAGTGGAGAGAGGTCCATTGCTGAGGTGAGTGATGAAAGGGAAATGACAGTTGAGAGTAAATTGTGATGTGGACTCTCATCCCAGGATTTTAAGGAAATCAGTGGGGATATTGAACAGGAAACATTTCAGTCAAGGGGCATCATATGACCAATATAGACAGAAGAGCAACATTTATTTGAACATTTAAGTCAATGATACCATTCCTAGGTGAACTTAACATCTGTATGGAGTCAGATCAGTCTCAATATTAATAAATGCTCACAGAAGGATTCACAAATGTATTTTGCGATTTATATATAAATGACTCTCCACAACAATATCTCTCAATGCACTCACAAATAATTATTGTTGTATATAAATGTACAAAAAATTGGCATTTAAACTGCTTTTTATTCATTCAAAGACGGCTCTGAATTAATAATCAAATATGTTTCCTTTCTTTACTACTGGATGAAATTACAAAATGTACCCATCATTTTCCTCATGCTAGTATAGCCACATAAAAGTATCAAACCACCTGTTAAAATGCACCAGAATACAGGAAATCTATATATTTTTTCACCCCCACACCCCCCGTTAAAAATGTCCCCCCCCACATTCAGGATGCTTCCTACGCCCATGAAGAGAAGAGTTATTATGTAATAATAACCTCCTATAGAGGAAGTACCGCAGGCAGTCTGATGTTTACCTGGTTAACATTTCCTTCATTGCGTATTTACAAAATTGCATTGCCTTACGAGCAGTGTGGATCCAATTTAAACTCCTCTCGTATCATTTTTCATTTCTTCTGACAGAGTATTTTGAAGAACAGTTTGTACAGCCCGATCGCCCATCATCCTGCTTTAGATCACACAGTGATAACGAGGCAGTAACAGCACATGATGTTTTATTATGCATACGCAGAACATAGAAATAAGGTTAGGGGGATAACGGTATAATGTGGGGCGTAACATGCATCAGCGCTGAATCCATCCAAATGTGAACACAGTGTTCTCTGTATAGTAAACGGGTATTAAATGGAGCAGGCTTACCTGAACTCTCGATATTCACAGGAAGCATATCCTCGTTTATTGTGGATGGATACAACTGCTGCCTTGTGACCGCGTCCTGCTGCACCCACATGAATATAAGTGCATGCAGCAACAATATGGGCTGCATCTCAGGTCGGTTCAATGAAATCCTTGCGTCCCTATGAAGGTAGATATGGTGCAAAATGCGAGAGCGTGTAAAACCTGATGTGAGCACTTGCAGAAAAAAAATCGGAGCTTGTGTGCATACATTTACACTTGTATAAAATATCCACGTATCTGTGAACCAAATTTGAAGCCACAGAAAAAGAAAAAAAGTTTTGTAGCTTGTAGAAAAAAAATGAACTTAGTGATGAAATGTTCACTTGCAGAAAAATATATATTTTTTAAATATATTTTCCATTACAACTGCAACTTGGTTATTACAACCTCTCAAATCAGTCATTACAACTTCACGAATCTGCTCTGTGGCAGAATAAATCGACGAATCTGCGACCTTGACTTTTGCTACACTTCTTGCGATGAATGTGTCGGTAAAGTAATTTTCACCTGTATATGTCAAGCCCCCAGGAAGTGCGCCGGACTCAGATGAAAATATTCGTGCTGGCCAAACGGCGGTACTACACTTCCTTTTGGTTGCCAGGCCCGGAAACACTTTTTCCCATTGACTTACATGGGGAAAGAGTGGTCTGTAAATCGTTGGATAATTTTTTTTAAACTAAATAAACTACCCAGTATGAACACTTGTATAGCCCTTATTAAAAACATTCGTTCCTCAAGTTGTAAAAATGTGCTAATAACGTTATTCTGCGAGTTATTTCCCTCTGCATTATGAACGCGCATCTAACCCACGGGACCGCGCCGCCCGGCACGTTCATGTTACGTGTTCAGCACTACATGCGTTTATCTTTACCCATGGATGCACAATAAGAACGGACCCATATCGCCTTACTGCCAGCCCACGGAGCTGTAATAATGGATATATTGCATATGTTTGCTGTAATTCTTCATTTGTAAAATATTATACTACATGGGCTGTATGATTAAATCTTGTACCGTAAATGTTGTATTAAATAAAGTTAATATTACCGACGTAGATTAACGTCCCTGTAGCTTCTTATTGCACTAAGAAGCTTATTGTACTGTATATATATATATATACATATATATATATATATATATATATATACAGTGCAATAATTCTTTCATGCTAAATGAAGCTCTGTTGCTTGGATATCACTAGATCCTGTTACAGCGTAATATAAAAGTACATAACGATTGATGTGTAAATTAGCATAATTACTAGCTAACCGCTAGCTGCTAACTGCTATTATTACTCATAATAACAAACCATTACCATGCTGTCATGAACGTGCAGTGCTGTTACGTGTACGCAAATTGACGTGCTTGATGTGAACGAGCATTTTGGGGGGCATGGTTAAAGTTGCGCATGCGCTATGACCTCACATACGGGTACTTCTCAGGCATGCCGGGTAATCTGTGACGTTTCGCTCTCTCAAAAGTTGGGCCATTTTATCATCATGCGCGAATGAGCAACTCTCATAGGAATGAATGAGGCCCCGCCTCCCACGCTGTATCCAGTTCTTATTATACATCCATGGTATATGTGGGGGGAGGAACATGGGGAGGAAGGGGGGTTGGAGCGAAGGGGCGGAGCTATCAGAACGAGGAGGCGCAAACTCGGGTCAGTCACCATAGATATATATAAACACTGTTTATATATATCTATGTCAGTCACAGCCATGTCAGGTCGAACCGGATGACTATACATCCATGGGCCCTGCATGTTGCCCCTTTCACACCAACGCCGTTCCAGGGCCGGTTCGGAGCTTGTGCCTGATAAGCACCGGTTTTTATTTGACCATCCGTTCGCTGTTATTGATCATTGTGGAGGGGGCAGATGTTTTGTTTTGAATTATAGCAGCTATCAGATGGAATCAATACATGGGCTGCCTGCACAGGTTGTCATGTCCGACTATCACAAGTAGAATCATAATGAAAACTGTAGGTGTTTCTCATACTGCCTGTGCTGCAGCACCTCTTTTCCCCCTCTGTCTGAAACCAGAGCCCAGTCTGCTCTCATTGGTTAGCTGGCCAGCTCTGTTGTGATTGGTCAACCGCTTAGAGATGTCCCGCCCCTTAGCCTATCACGTACAATGTGTTGGAGCGCTAGCCAATAGAAGCGCAGGTGTTACAGAGAGACATACTGTATTAGCATCAAAATATACTTAAAGTACCAAAAGTAAAAGTATTCATTGTGCAGATTGGTCCATTTGAGAATAATATATATGATATTTTTTATAATTATTGATCATTAAAGTGTTATCAAAGCTGGTAAAGGTGCAGCTAGTTTTAATGACTTTGTATACTGCAGGGTAGCTTGTGAATTTACTCCATGTAAGTGTAGCCTTTACATGTTCACAATTTAACTGCAATATGTATTTTCTAAGTGTAATAATTATTATTTGTTGTAATATTTCATGCGTGCAATATATTTTTTATTTTGAAGTCCAAGCTCACGTCTCGTTATGCTGTTCTCGCGTGAGTTAGAGAGCGAGAACGAGACCAGAAACGGCGCGTAAGATGCACGGATACAGCTCCGTTAGTTAAGTGTATTCTATAAGTTGTAAGGACTGAAGAATACTTCCCTCTGTTTTCAGAGCATGCAGCCAAAGAGGTATGTTGTTGTGTTTGTATTACTTTTACGTTTATTACTTTGCTAGTCATCTCACATGCTGTGCATGTTATTGTGTGTCTAACACGATCATTTATACTGTTTGTTTGTGTAGTCTTCACGGTGGATTCGAAGAGGAACTAGAGAATGCAATTCCTGAAGAAATTGCTAGTGGGAATGCTTTATGCTGAAAAGCTGATGCTGAATTGCTATGCTGAAATGTAATGTGTAAGAAGAAAGTGAAGAATTTAGATTGAAATGATACATGAACACTGGGGGCTTGAATGTGTGATGAGAGAAGAAAAGAAAGTAAAAAGGCTTGGAAAAGCAGCCGAATATTTGAACTGCAAACTTTTGAACTAACTTGATGGCGAATGATCTGTCGCCATGCCAACGGCATTTGATGACATCCCATAATATGCTTAGATGCGTTGATGGCTGCATCGTTACCAAACCTGTGAAGTTTTGGGCCGTTTGGAGCATTTTCTCTGAAGTTATGAGAAAACCGTGTTTCATGGTGAGCATTGTGTTGCCATGGCAACGACATTTGAAGAAATCTCAAAACTGTCCCGTAGATGTCTTTACGGCTAGACTGTTAGCACACATGTGAAGTTTGAGCACTTTTTGAACATTTTCATAGGAGTTATAGCGACATCGTCTTTTATGGCGAGGGATGTGTTTCCATGGAAACGGCATATGGTGAGATCTCAGATTTGGCGTAGAGCTTTTGAGGCATGGACCGGTGATATACAAGTGAAGATTGGGGGACGATCGGACCGTGTCCATTGGACTTACAACGACATCGTGTTACATGGCGAGTGGTCTGTCGCCATGGCAACGACATTTGATGACACCCCATAATACGCTTAGATGTCTTCACGGCTGGACTGTTAGCACACATGTGAAGTTTGAGAACTTTTTGAACATTTTCATAGGAGTTAATGTAAAGCGACATCGTCTTTTATGGCGAGGGATGCGTTTCCATGGAAACGGCATATGATGACACCCCATAATTGACGTAGAGCTGTTGAGGGCAGGACCGTTAACCATTATCTGAAGTCTGCTGCTCTGAGCATGTTAGTTGGAGTTATGACATCATCGTGTTCCATGACACAGGTGTTTATATTTGAGCTAACGAGGTGTCCAGAGATCAAAGGTTTCCATTGTTCTGAATGAGAGATAAACCTCTATGTGAACGTTTTGTTGAAGAACCGTAACAGATATCGGTGAAATTTCAAAGCGTGAAGCATCTCAAGGACCTTGAGTATCTGAAGTGTGCTTTTTGTGTACAGCTGCTGCTGTGAGGAAATATCAGCCTGAAATTACAATGGGCTTTAATGGAGACATGTTGAAAGTTTTTGTCACTTCATGCCCTCAAGAGGCATTTTGCTTAATTATTTGTCATTTTTCAAGCTACGAGATATTTTCCTACGTTTGTCATGAAATATTATGTCTCAGGAATATAGGGTTTGGGAATTATGGCAGTTTTAAAAAAAAATATGAAGGCAAATTTCAAACTGTCCTCCACTCTAACTCTGACATCACGCACTCTGCCTTAACGAGCTGCGCAATGTTAAAGTTAAAATGTTTAAAATTTGATGAATTATGGGCTATATCTCGGGAATTATGAAAGTTATGAATGAGAAAAGTAATAGCCATCGATTCCCGACCGAGCTGAACGTTTTGATGTTTGAACGGAGTTTCTGCGATGTGGAATGTGGGAGAAGAAGAGGGCCAAAATAACAGGCGGAATAATAAAGAATTTTGTGCGTAGAAGAACAGATAGTTGGAATGCTGTTAACAGCATTCCCACTAAATAAACCCGTTATGAGAAAGCCACTTGTGTCTGCCTGTGCTTCGAGGGAATTACACTCCAGGTGGAACAAAAGTCTGATTTAAGACTTGATTATATTTCACACCATTAATCCAAATCTGTAAAGTAACTAATGGTATTAAATAAAAGTTGTGGAGTAAAAGTACAGAACTTACCTCTGAAATGTAGTGGAGTAGAACTTACTTAAGTACAGTACTTGAGTAAATGTACTTAGTTACTTTACACACTGATCGGACTGACTATGCTGACAGCTGAATTGGGGTCTGGTGCTGACCTCTAGTGGAGGATGTACTTTTTACAGCAGATGAAAAAACTCAACTGTTGAGTATCCATGTGTTATTAATGCACTGCTGTTTTGAGGTCTTTCGGATATCATTACTTAGTTTAAATTCGCTTTTGTATTTGTTGTATTTTGTATTTGCACGAATCTGCTGGTTAATCATACATTCATTTAAAATACTTTATAGTGTTGTGATCACTTATTAATACACTGGGTTACATAATTCAATCAAGGAACTACAGGTTGGGGGTATTGTTCCGCACGGACACTAATGCTTACT